ACACACACTAAATGCAAAATAAATAAATAAAATAAAATAAATTAAAAAACAAACAAACAAAAAAAATATTGAAGCTATTCCTCTGGGCGTGGTGGCCAAGCCTATCTCAAAAAAACAAAGAACAAAATAAAAAATATTGAGTGTATTCAAAATCTCAAGTCTGTAAGTTTATGTTTTAGCGGTTTACTGTTAAGGGCTAAAAATTGACCTCTGGTATAGAAAAAAAATGTATTTCTAATTGGATCTCATATAGGACCTGTGACTATATCAAGACTGTACTGATAGGTGACCCTTCCTTAAGAATAATTCTTTAATTAAACTTTTATGCTGCTGTTGAGTAGAGAATAGATTATAAATAGCCTTATTCTACAGAATAGTCTACATAATGACCTCCCTTATCTCTTATCTCTTTAAAGTATGTGTATAAATTATGTATGTTGAGCTGGGTGTGGTGGTGGTACAGCAAGCTTGTAAGTAAGTCCTAGCATAGAGTGAAGCTGAGAGAAGAGGATCAAAAGTTCTGGTTCGACTTGGGGCAACTTAAACCCTGTCTCAAAATAAAAAATGAAAGGTGCTGGGATAGCTTAGTGGTTAAAAACCATTTGGTTCAAACCACAGTACTCCACAAAAGAACAATAAAAAATGCATGTTGAGGGGCTGGCGAGATGGCTCAGTGGTCTAAAGCACCTACTTGGAACAAGCTTGGCAAAGCACAGGGACCACGGTTCGATCCCCCAGCACCACATGCCAGCCAGCCTCGCCCCCTGGTGGGCTGAGCTGGCCACACATACACACACACACACAATAAATAAATGTTTAAAAAAAAAAATGCATGTTGAGTTTTGAGTCCTTATTTTGAGTCAGAATGATTCAGCTAGTCTTGGTAGTTTATTATTATCATTATTTTGTATTTTAGGGAAGGGTCTACAGGGTGTTCAGGGTCTCACTACTAGATCAGACTGGTAGTGATCCACCTGTTTTACAGATGTGTGCCACCACACCCAGTCTCAATTGCGTCTCAGTGCCCCCAAGGCTGGGCTGGCACCGCAGGCCTGGGGATCGAACCCCCGGCCCCTGTGCCTGCTTGCAGGTGCTTTAATTTGCTAAGCTATTTGGCTGGCCCTTGGTAGTTTAAAAGACAGTATACTTTTCTGACTGTTTCTATTCTAGTCCAGGGAGACGGATGTTGTATTCTTGTCTTGTTTGTCTGGGAAGCTGACCTCTGTGCGTCTGTGCCCTGTATCACATGTTACTAGTTGTGTTGAAACAGACTTGCAGCCTTCTGACGTTCAGTAAGTCCACACCATTTTCTGTACTTTCTCAGTACTTCTCTCTACTTGTCACATCATACCATCCTTTTACTCTTCTTGATATTTTGGCCATAGGGGGTTTTCTCTTTCTTTTTCTTAATTGATTTTTATGGCCAAAAGTCTTTAATGGGTCACTACATGTTCTTCATATAGTATTAAGTACTGGTAGTAAAGAATGTATAGTCTTTCGCAGATGTCCTGTATGTTTATTGAATTCAGTCTTGTTTTTGAGACAAGGTTTCAATATGTAGCCTAGGTGACTGTCATGCCTCAGCTTCCTAAGTGCTGGAACTACAGGTTTTGTGCTGCCTGCCTGGTGAATTCAGTTTTAAATTGAATGCTTTGTCCTGGGCCTGGGGAGATAGCTCAGTAGAATAAGCTCTTGCCTGGCAAGCACAAGGGCCTGCCAGGCAAGTGCTTATTCTACTGAGCCATCTCCCTGGCCCCTCCAAACTATTATTAATCAGTTTATGTATTGACTGAGCTCTGGGAACTGTCTCCTCCCCTTGCCTAGTCCTGAATGTATGTGACTAGAAAAATTAGCTGAGGGCTGGTGAGATGGCTCAGTGGTCTAAAGCACCCACATAGAACAAGCTAAGCTAAGCAAAGCACAGGGACCATGGTTCAATCCCCCAGCACCACATGCCAGCCCACCCCGCCCCCTGATGGGCTGAGCTGGCCACACATACACTAAATAAATAAATACATAAAAAAAAAAACAAAACAGCCTTGAGTTCAAATCTTAAAAAAAATAAAAATAAACTTTATTAAAAAAAAAAAGAAAAATTCGCTGAAATCATGTGTTCCAGCTGGCATAAACCCATTTTACTAATTTACTTAATCTCCGTCTGTCTTCCTCCTTCTTTTCCTCCCTTTCTGTCTCTTTTCTTTGTACTGGGAATTGAACTCAGAACCTTGTGCTTGCCAGACTGGCACTTTTGCCGCTGAGCTATATCTTCAGCCCATTACTCATTCATTATTGAATTTAAACTCACAGGTGGAAAAATGCTTATGTTAGAATACTGACTAATTGAAAGATAGGCGTGGTCAGCATCTAGGTTTTTGTGTTTGGTTTGTTTTGCTTCCTCAGGATAATGTAATAAGTGCTTGTGTAAATACTTCCATTTGAAGAAAATTGCTAGTATATAAAGAGGAACTGAGCAGGGAAGAGGAATGGCATGTAGAAAGAAAAATCATAAATGACCTTAAATGTAAATGTAAAAGTACTAAGATATTTAATATAGTGAGAAACGTGAAACTTGTGTGAAATACAGCAGGTTTGGCAAGATTTTTCTTTTATAGGGAGGGACATAGTATTTTATTTTAGCCTTTGTTGGCCACATGCTTAATCTTATATAATCTTACTGTTACGAGGTTTTAAAAATGTAAAAAGCCGGCCAGTTATGGTGGCATAGGCCTGTGATCTCAGCATGCCTGGGCTACACAGTGAATACAGGAGTGCAAGGCTAGTCACAGCTATATAGTGAGACCCTGTCTCCAGAAAACACACAATCCAAACCAAGTAAGAACTGCACTTGGCTTGCACTTGGGGGGAAAAAAGCTGCAGGCCGTGGCGTGCCCAGCCCCCAAACAACATTCTGCGGGAGGTGCTGTAGGTCTGTACAGTGTTTTCTTCTGTTTTGGTGTTAGGGATGGAGCCCAGGGCCTCACAGACCGAGAGGCAAGTGCTGTGCCCTTGACCTGTAACATCAGCCCTATTCCCTCATTTTGAATTGGCAGCTATCATTAAAATTTTAAGGTGT